CTGGTATGAATCCCACTTGGTCGTGATGTATTATTTTTTTGATATGATGCTGAATTCTATTGGCTAGAATTTTGTTAAGAATTTTTGTATCAATATTCATGGCAGTTATTGTTCTGTAATTATTTTTCTGGTGTCTTTGACTGGTTTTGGCATCAGGTTATACTGGCTTTATATAATGAATTTGGGAGTGTTCCTTCCTTTTTTATGCTCTGAAATAGTTTTAGTAGTACTGGTGTGAGCTCTTTGAATATTTGATGGAATTCTCTAGTAAAGCTGTCTGGACGAGGGCTTTTTTTGGTGTGTGTGGTGGTGGGGCTCGTACCTCTTCAGTCTCTTCTCTTGTTATGGATCCGTTTAAATTTTCTACCTCAGTTTGTGTTAGTTTAGGTAGGTTGTATATTTCTAGAAATTTGTCCATTTCTTCTAGGTTCTCAATTTTGTTGGAGTATGATTTTTCATAGTATTCTGTTATGATCCTTTTTATTTCAGTTGGGTCTGTTGTAATGCCCCCCATCTCATTTCTTATTTGGGTTATTTGCTTCCCTATTAAGTTTTCAGTCTCAATTTTCATCACTTTTGTTTTCAGACATCCCTAGAAAAGTAGGTCGCCAGATTTACCTATCACTCAAGGGGTAAGGATGACAAAGGCATTAGAGAGCAGTGAAAGCTGAGGGGATTTATGAGTCTTATCACTGATCAGCCCAACTCGAATGGGGGAAAGCAGTCAGCTGCTGCTCTATGGCCAACAGCTGTGTTAGATCAGCAGCCCTGGCAGGAAGCATTTGTGGAACTTGCTGGCTTTGAGCATAAGGGGGAAGGACTCTCATTTTCAAAGTAAGATATTTTAGGGGAATTCTCCCTTTTGGCAGAGAAGCTTAAGAGTACAGGTTGAAGAAAAACTTATTAGAATGTAATAAAAATGGACAGCTCTTTTTCTCTTCTAAAAACTATCTTCTGAACAAGCGCATGAGCCATAGATTTTTTTTCCCCTTTCTAGAGTCTATATAAACAAACAAAAAAATATTTTATTTGCAATTTATCAGAGACAGTCTGCCCTCAAAAGATTACAAATGAAAGTGTTTTGTGTAGTCCATGTAAAAATCAGGTTTACTGGGATTGACCTCTATCTCAGAACGTATGTCACATATCTCTGAGCTCCAAACTATTGCTGTGTTATTTGGGAGCTTCTTCGTGCGGGGTAGGTTGAAGAATGTTTTGATTCTGTCCTGTTCTCTAAAACAGGGACACTCCACAACTCTGTACTTTGCCTGCCTTGGTGGCAGGATGCCCCTGAATCTGACATATATTTACTGAATTTAGTTGTCTGTAGACGGCAGTAATGATTCCTGAGGTTGCTAGCAGCAGTTGCTTGACAGCACCACGCTGAACCAGCCCGATTAGTGCTTTCTCCAGCTGTGATGAGAGAGCATTTAACTGGGTTTATTATTGAAGCCAGAGATTGTTCTAAAACAGCAAGATGGTGCAAAGGGCACCCATCTATAGTGCAATTCACAGCTCCCACTTTGTGCATGGGGTGATTATTAGAAACTCCTAGTCATTTAAGGAGCTGGCCTAACTTGATAAGTTAGGAATAGTTAAAACATTTCTGTGTTTCTGTATAAAACTGAAGCATTCAGTGTTTTAGTAGGGGGCTCATCCACTGAACATCTTAATTTTTATATTCTTTCCTGGTTCTGTTTGTTAAAATGATAGGAATGCTTTCCTTTAGTAATTTTTAGTTGTAGTTTTTTAGTTAGCTATCTTCCACGCAGTCTAAAGCATTTTAAAGGGCTGCAGAAAACATAACTGCTTATTGCAAACTGCCCAGTTGAGATTTAGCTAGGCACAATGATTAAAGCGCTTGGCTGCTAACCAAAAGGTCAGTGGTTTGAAACCACCAGGGGCTCCGTGGGAGAAAAGACCTGAGATCTGCTGCCATAAAGATTGTTGTTGTTAGGTGCTGTCAAGTCAGTTCCGACTCATAGCAACCCTATTATGTACAAGAGAATGAAACACTGCCTGGTCCCTATAAAGATTACTGCCCCTGTGGGGCAGTTCTACTCTGTCCTATAAGGTCGCTATGAGTCAGAATCGACTCTAAGACACACAACATCATGCCAATGGCTCTTAAAACCCACAATCTAGGCCGAAGGGTGCCATCTACTGTTCCTCTCGGGCACTGTTGGGAACCATTGCACAGAAAGAGGATGCTTGGGAAGCCCTGCCAGCCTCTCTGTGAAGGTTTGGGGTCGTTCAGCACAGTGGTTACCCAGCACCTATTATATGCTAGTAGACATTTTAAGAATCAATGAGGTTTTATTCCCAGTTTGGCTCCATTCAGCAGGTGAGCCAGTTGAGCATGTTGGCAGTACAAAAGTCATTTTAGCTACTTGTCTCTCCCAATGAGGGAGAATTTCAAAACCACAAGCAAGCTGGTAGCTCCAGTGGAATTTGATTATTGCCAAATTTAATTTATTGCTTATGAGCTTTTTTTTTTAATGCAATACATATGTGTTTCTCTGTGTGTGTGTGCATGTATGTATTTAGAAACAATTTTAAAGGGAGGTAAGAGATGGACAGTTCTCTCCGGGATATAGAATAGGGGTCTGGGGACATTGTAATTTTTTGCTTAATAGCTTTTTGTTCTGCTAGTTTATTTTTACAGTGAACTGATGGCTTTTATAGCTTAAAAAAAAGCTTTATTGAGCTATAATTAACATACCATACAATTCACCTGTTTAAAGCATACAATTCAGTGGGTTTTAGTATGTTTAGAATTGTGCAACCACCACCACAGTCAATTTTAGTACATTTTCATCACCCCCAGAAGAAACTCTATACCCATCAGCAGTCACTCCCCATTTTCTCCCAAGCCCCCCAGCTCTAGGTAACCATTAATCTAATTTCTGTCTCTATAATATTTGCATATTCTGGGCACTTCGTATAAACAGAATCATACAATATGTGGTGTGGTCTTTTGTGACTGGCTTCTTTTGCTTACTGTAACATTTTCAAGGTTCATCTACGTTGTAGCATGTATCCGAACTTTATTCCTTTTTGTTACCAAATCATACTACTTCTACAACTTTTTAATTACAAAATTGCTTAATCTGGAAAAGACTTTTTTTCTTTAAGTTTAAGGGTTTTTTTAATTGTTGTTGAAAGTATACACAGCAAAATATACACAGATTCAACAATGTCTACATGTACAATTCAGCAACATTGATTACATTCCATTCTCACCCTCCTTTTCCGAATTGTTCTTCTCCCATTAAATGAACTCACTGTCCCCTAAGCTTCCTGTCTAACCTTACTAGTTGCTGTTCAGTTTGATCCCATATAGATAGTTCTTCAAAAGAGCACGATGTTCAAGGCAAACATTGTCTTTACTAAATAAGCTATCTTATTGTTTGGTTTGAAGACTTCAGGGGATATTTTTGGTTTAATGTTTAAAGATTATCTCGGGACAACAGTTTGGTGAGTTTATCCAACCTCAGAAAGTCTGGATTCCATGAGAGTTTGGAAGTCTGTTCGGTATTTTTCCCCTTTTTGATCATAATTCTTTTATAGAATAGTAATGGTAATGGTAGCCAGGCACCAACCCCTTCTTCTGGTCTCATGGCAGAGGAGGCGTTTGTTCATGGGAGCAATAAGGCATACATTCTGTTTCTTGTTCCTGTTCCTGACTCTTCTACTTCCTCTGCTGCTCCAGGCAAATAGAGACCAATTGTTGTACCTTGGATGGCTGCTTGCAAACTTTTAAGACCCTAGGCGCTACACAATGAGCTAGAAGGTAGAACAGAAAACACAAAAAACCATATTAGGCCAATTAGCTGGGATGTCCCATGAAACGATTACCCTAAACCTCCAAACCAAGAAACCAAATCCCATGAGATCTTTGGTTGTACATAAGTAGCCTCTGCAGCTGTTCTCTTTCTCTCTCACTCTCTTTTATTTTTATTTTTTGTAAAAATATGTATCACACAACATCTGCTAATTTAGCTTTTTAGAGGTGTGCAACTTATTGACGGTAATTACACTGATCAGCTGAAAAGCCTGAGTTTTAATAGCATCTTAAAGTAGACCCCAAGTATGATTTCTGGTCTTCATTCTTGTAAAAGGGTCTGTCAGAACGTGGCTTACTGAGGTTTGTGCTGCTCTTTTCTTTCTTTCTGTGAGCCTGAGGAAGGGTAGCTGGCTCGTTGAGCTGACTTCTTATAGTAAGAGCAGTTTGTGACTTAGGAAATCTCAGGAGATTTTGTGAAGCCGTTCACTGTGGGCCCCCCCAAAGGGGGATCTTGTTTTGAAAAAATCCCCAAGCCAGCCATGAGGGCACAGTTGCTGCCATGGACCTCAGATATCAGTGAGAAAACACATCTTTCTCTGTTTCAGCATCTGTTATGCCAGAGTATTCAGGTTCTGTATTAAAAAGGAGGGATTGATGCTTTGTTATTGGGTAGCAGAACTAGAGTAGTATTTGTAACTTATTTTTAACCTCATTTTCTAGAAATAAATTTAAGCATTTAACTTAGGAATATTAATTTATTTTCTCCAAGAGAAAATTTACCGTTTTCTTGGTAACTTTACAAAAGTCTCTATAAAACCGGACCTGTTGCCGTCGTCAATTCCAATTCATAGAACCCTATAGGACAGAGTAGAACTGCCTCATAGGGTTTCCAAGGAGCAGCTGGTGGATTTGAACTGCCAGCCTTTTGGTTAGCAGCCGTAGCTCTTAACTGCTCTGCCACCGGGGCCCCAAAGTCTCTATGATGGTATGATAATTGAGAAAAATCCAGATAGGTTTTGTTATTTATTCTTGTTGATATTTAAGATTTCTGTCCTCCTTAGTATTGGAAGGACTTGAAGTTAACCCAGCACTTATATGTAGTCAAGCTGTTAGGCATTTAAAATCCACTTCCTCACATTTTGTGTGAGCATAGAGCATCTGAATGGAGGCCACTGGGATGAGTACAATTGTTGGTCTCTTGTTCCCCGCACAGGCACCAGAGCAATGGAGCAGTCATTGCCCGCTGTGGACAGCCAGAGGTCAGCTGGTGGGGCTGGCGAAACGCAGATGATGAGCACCTCGTTCAGTCAGTAGCCAAAGCTTGTGCCGCCGACTCCCGATCGAGTGGCAGCAAGCTGTCAACTAGGAACAGTTCTCGAGACTTTCCCAATGGGGGAGACCTTTCTGATGTGGAGTTTGGTAAGGAGCTCCCTGGACCATGGCAGCGTTTTTTATTTCATCTAAGGACCTTTTCTTTTCCTTAGAAAACATAGTGTTTGTTTCATAGAAGAGAGAGTGAAGCTCCAATTAATTGGATTGTTTGAGGAGTCATGGGTGCTGGCAGAGAACCAGAAGACCCTTTATTTCAAACTTGTTTTAAGAGGGCATAGTGTGTTGTCTTTCTTGCTGTCATGAAAAGAATGGAGTATTTATTTAATAGAGTACTTGCAGTGTCTCCAGACCATGGGGAAAATATCAGGCTTCCTTAAAGGACTACAGATGTGGAAATGAGGCATAGGAGAATTGGGCTACATGGACCCCATGTGTGCTCTGGGAGTTGGTTTTGGAGAATGAATCCTCATCAACTTTTATGAGAAGGCAAAATAGAAAATAAACTAAAGAGAGAAGTCCATTGTATCAAGGGTTCTGGTTAGGTAGGTTTCATTTAATTGAGTTATTTTTGCACTGTAATATATGCCTATGGTTCTTATTTTACACAGTTCTGGGAGAGAAAGGTTCATTTTGTTTTTCTCCACCCTCCCCTCAATGTCTCTAGATTCTTCTCTGTCAAATGCTTCAGGAGCCGAGAGTTTAGTCATCCAACCACAAAAGCTTTTAATCTTGGATGCGCGTTCCTATGCAGCAGCTGTGGCAAACCGAGCCAAAGGTGGAGGCTGTGAATGCCCAGGTGAGATGTACAGTGCTTCGTCCACTGGTGCTCTGTCCTTGTGAGTCCAGCTCGTGCCCAACGGAGACCTAGTTCTCAATTTGAAACGACGTTCCTCGACCTGTCTTGGAGAGCCAGAGCTTCTCTTTGGATTCTTCACACTGTCCTTTTAAGGGGAGAAATGGAGGAGGAGGAGGAGGAGGGGCTGTGAAACCAAATAATCTTCCTGCCCTGTGCCAACCTTTAGGTAATAAGGAAAGAAAATCCTCTCCCATGAGAAGGCCTGTTAATATTTGGAAGCTTCTTTTTTTAATGGCTCAATCTCTCAGCCTTCGAAACGCTTTTTGTTGCCTTTGACAGTGGCTGTGCACATCACTGGCCTCACAGAAAACTCCTTACATGGCTTCTACTTAGAAAACCTGGGATGGAAATTAAAGCAGTAATACAGAACTCTAGCAAAGTACCTCTGTCCTGACCTCTAACCTCCCTACCATTTGAAGGCTGGCTTTCCCCAAGGAGGGCCCCCTTTGGTGCCAGTTGTGTGCTGATGGAGCAGTCACAGGCACCAAGCTCCCGTTTCAGATATGATCTAAGCTAGAAATTGAAAGCAGTTGTACCAAGGTGAAATTTGAATGCATGAAGGTATTATTCGGCCAGGTTCTTTTCAGTAGAAGTAAAGAGATTCTAGAGCCACAAGTTAGATGAGACCCATGGAGTAAATAAACCTGGGGTAAGATGGAATTATATAGGCCTTTCTTTTTAAAAATAACAGCTTCTATTTTATGTCAGTGTCTTCTTCACAAATCCAACCTTCCTATTTTTGCCTTTTTTGCAAAGACAGCTAAAACTCAAGCAATGTTTTCCTCTTTTAATAAAGGGCTATGCCAATAGTCAAACATTAAAAACATTGCAGTTTCATTAGTCAGCAGCTTGCAATGTGTTTGTTTTACAGCCAGTTTTCTTCTTTTAAATTTGGCCATGGGGGCTTTAAATTCAACATATTTGTATTCTCTTTATTGTTATTCTCTCCAGAGTATTACCCGAACTGTGAAGTTGTGTTTATGGGGATGGCAAACATTCATTCTATTCGGAGGAGTTTTCAGTCCCTGCGGTTGCTGTGCACACAGATGCCAGATCCGGGAAAGTAAGACCTTGGCCTTGGCTGTAATTTTGCATTACTCTTTTTTAAAAAATGAGTTTGGAGGTGTGTTTCCTTCTATTTCTTGGTAAACTTCAGTTATACTTTCAGTCTGTAGACACTCTTGTTCCTGTGTTAGTAACATGGCAGCACAGAGGAGGAGCTGGGAAGCAAATCCAGCCCTTGGAAAGGTTTTAAAATGTGCAGCACAGAACAAACCTCAGCTCTCAAAGATGAGGCATTGCCTTTGTATTTTTCCTGGAACCTCTCCCTTTTCTTACACATTGTTTTTGGCCCCAAATAATTTTAATTCTCTGGTTTCTGACATTCTGTAGTGACACTTATCTGCTATGAGCTGGGGTGTTTTACCATGAAGAGTCAAAATTCATCACCTTCTAAGAAGGGTTAAACTTTTTTTGTGCTTGCCATTAGGTCAGTTCCTTTTACATCTGCTTCTGATTTCTAAACTCCTCTGCCTTATTTACTAAGAATGTTATCATGATTTTGATTGCTTATTAAAAATGAGTGGCTGGCATTTGCTGTGAAGAAGGTGAAAAAACACCTCCTCCCCTGAAGGAAACGGATTGAATACAAAGATAAATTAAGAGGAATGCTCTGTAAAACAAATATGGATGGATAAATAGTTAAAAGCCCCCTTTTTACTATTTCAGTAGGCCAGAGATGGTGCCAGCCAGAAAAGACAGAATTTTCTCTTTTCTGGTGTTTGTGGTAGAGCCCATAGCTGTTTCCCCAGGTTCTGTTCAGTAGATCTCATGGTCACATCATGCTGCATTCTTTATTTGATTTACTTGTGAGTTACTTGTACTGGCCCATGGTAGCAAATGATTAAATTCATCACAGTTGCAATCTGCCCAAAGGGTGAGAAGCAGTCATCCTTTGGGAAAAGCCTGACCTAAGAAATGAGCATGCTGCTCTTCGTTGGGGATTAGCCACTTGCATCTGCTACACAGTTCCAGGACCCAGCTAGTACCACTCTCTCCCTAATGGTGGGGCATAGAAAAAGCTGGCTGAGGACCCAGGCGATCTGCCACTAACTCACCATGTAACCTTGGCTTAATCACTGTGGGTCTCAGTTTTCCTGTCTATAAAATGAAAGGGATGGAAACAACACTTAGACGATCCCTAAGGTAATTTTCATATGCTAAAATTCTTTCTTAAAAAAAGACTGTTTTTTAAATGTAGGGTCAAAAAGATGTAATTAGCCTTGGCCTGTTCCAAATGAAAGTCTGGGTATTAAGGAAGAAGGTAATGCTTTGTATTTGGTGGCGAATCATAATGCAATACTGGAGCCTCCCTTGTGTATAAAAAGAAGCTATGGCTGCCCCAATATTTGTTTGGGGCTGTAGAAGGCAAGGGGATATGTGTTTCTACTCCAGCTTGGGAACAGTACAAGGGAATATGGAGTCTTTTAGCAGCTCCTCAGTTGGCAAATTTTGGAGTGCAGATTCTCTGTTATGTATGCATGGATAACACCAACTGGAATGTAGTAATAGTTCAGTCAGGTTCAAGAGAATCTTATACTTGTTCTCTAGTTTACCATTTCTCTAGGACAAAGGAGATAATTAAGTATTTGCTCCCTTAAGCCTTATCTTTTAGTTCCTTCCAAGACTATATGAGGAATGAGAATAAACAATTGATCAATCAGCAAAAAAATGTTTCTCAGGTACCTAGTAGGAGATAGATAAGTCTTAGGACTGGCTTTTTACCCATGACAGACTTACAGTTCATTAAAACATAGGAATCCTCACTGTTTGCAAGACACTGTGCTAGGGGTTCAGCTGTGACTGAGACACAGTGTCAGCCCTGTGAGGATTTAGTCTGGTTGGTAGACCAAACTCATCCATATGAAACCAGTGCTTACACACTGTATTCTGTCGTGTTTGCCTAGAAGGACCCCCTGATTTAGACTATTCAAATAATTCATTACTCATTCCCCAAGGTTAGTGGACTTTGATAGCCGAGTCTTGGCTCGCTTGACAGAGTATTCATTCCTTCCTCTGACTTGAGTGTTTGAAGTGCTGGACTTGTGGTCTTCACTACACGTTTAATAGCATTTGGGAGAACTCAGAGCTTCTTTTTGGGGATTGAGGGCAATTCATGACAGGGCACAAGAAACAAAATGTCAACACTGTTAAAAAAACAAGTGTGATCAGCTTGTGATTAATCCCAAGGCCCTTGTAATCTGATGCTTCTAAAGGTCTTTGGGAAAAGGGTTCTTTCTTCTAGATCCCTGCTGAATCCAGTCTGTGTTAAGACCAGTAATTCTATGTGGCCATTGGTGTACTAATTCCTGAATCTTATCATCTGTTTGGGACCATCCAGTTTTAGTCAGTAGACATTTAAGACGTCAGCAGTGGTAAGTGTTAAGGTGTTGGTAGTAGGTGATGTTGTCTTTGTAGCATTCTTGCATGTGGCATCCAGCTTACATTTCCGTACAGACATATTTGTATTTATGAGTCTTTTTTTTTTTTACCTATTTTATTTGAGAATTTGTTGGACAGAGTTGCTGGTAGTTAAATATAGATATCTTTTTCATGTCATAATTGACTGCATTTCCTGCAAGAAAAGATTCCAGAAAGAGCCACTTTTCTTATAGTGTATATATCTTCCATGGACTGAAAAATATTAAATATTCCCTTTGTGAAGTTATCCGTAAATATTTTTGGAACAAAAGGTGGTCCTGTTAATTACTGTTCCTATTTCTAAGGCTCCCCTCTCTTTTGCATAGTAGGGCTTGGGTCTCAGCCTTGGGCATGCTTTATAAACACACAGAAATTTTGTTTGTTTGTTTTTGCAGTGTTGTATTTGGAGGGGGAAGACTTGGGGAATTCCGTTTTAATTTGACAGGCATTGGGCATGATGCAGTAAATCATAAAACTCAGCATTTCCTTATCCTCTCCTGTTTTTATAGTTGGCTCTCAGCTCTTGAAAGCACAAAATGGCTCCATCACCTGTCTGTGCTTCTGAAATCAGCACTTCTGGTGGTGCACACTGTGGACCGTGATCAGCGACCGGTGCTAGTGCACTGTTCCGATGGCTGGGACCGTACCCCCCAGATTGTGGCATTAGCTAAGCTCTTGCTAGATCCTTATTACCGAACCATAGAGGTAAGTGCATCTAGTACTTCAAGATGTGTGGGAAGATAAGCTGGTGCCACACAGCCAGCCGCTTGGTTAGGACCTCCCTGAGGATTTTATACTCAATTTTGAGGCTGGTGATTAGGTCTAGAGAAAATGAAGTTACTTTGCTCTTTTACCGTCCACCTCTTAAAATGAGGCAGATTGTGGGTAACAAAGTATTGAGAATATAGATGTATTTTCCTCTGAAGCCTGTCTACATATCTGAAAAAGTTTTGTATACCCCAGGAAAACAGGGCATCTGAAAAAGGATCTTGGCATGCCTGTGGTAATGGGTCTAGATATCACCACAGAGTGTTCTGTGGTGAAAGAGCCCTACTCTGAAATAACTACCTATTGGATTAAAAATGTAAGAAACACCATAAGGTACCCTCAAATATATTTGAATATTTATAAAATCTGGTGTGGAGAAGGATTTTACAAACATGACTTTGTAAGCGTAATACCAAAGGCAGAAATTAAAAAATAAAGAAGAAATTTTAGATAAAAAAAATAGTGTGGCTTTTATATAATGAGTGAAAGAATCTAAAAATCTGAATAGAATCAAGAAAGGGTCAGATAAATGCATAGTTAGTACCCCTTCAGTAATTATGGAGTGGAGTTCAGGGAATTGGGAAAGTTTCTTAAGCATGAACTTGATGTTCCATCAAGAGTAGAACAGAACCATTGGCTGTGGGCCCAGACAAGGCACTACTGGCAGGCTGTTAAAAGGGATTGCTGCCAGCCACACCTGGCTCAGGACTGTCACAAGCTGAGTAGATGAGCATAAATGGTCTCTCCTGGGTGCTTCCCTGCAGGGTTTCCAGGTTCTCGTGGAGATGGAATGGCTAGATTTTGGCCACAAGTTTGCTGACCGGTGTGGTCATGGGGAGAACTCGGACGATCTGAATGAGCGTTGCCCAGTGTTTCTGCAGTGGCTTGACTGTGTCCATCAGCTTCAGAGGCAATTTCCTTGCTCTTTTGAGTTCAATGAAGCATTCCTTGTGAGTTGCGGCTTATGATTCATGGGGATATCAATGCAGATGTTAGTGGGCCAATTTTCACATGAAACTGTGCAGGCTTTTTAGAATTTAATAGATGGGAGATGCTTTTCCTTTTTATTAAAAACAGCAACAACAACCAAAAACAGGGTATGTTTACTCAGTGAATTAAGGTATACTAGGTTTGCATAAAATCCTTGAGTTCTTTTAAGCTTAGTCTTTAAAAGAGATGCTGTTGTTGTTGTGTCGTCGAGTCGATTCCAACTCATGGCGACCCTAATATAACAGAGTAGAGCTGCCCCATAGGGTTTCCTAGGCTGTAATCTTTAGGAGAACAAATTGGCAAGTCTTTTCTCCCATGGAACTGCTGGTGGGTTCAAACTGCTGACCTTTTTCAGTTAGCAGCTGAGGGCTTAACCATTGCGCCACCAGGGCTCCTTAAAAGGGATGCTAGAAACCCTAAATAGCAGTTAGAAAATAGAAGCAATCAGAATTTCCCTCCAGTCCATCCACCAAACCGCGGCATCTGTCTCACGCCCTCTGCTTCCCATGCCCTTGGAGGCATTATCCTCCCCCTCTTCATACCCCTCCCTTTCCTTGTGCAGCAGCTCCCATCCCTCTCATCTAGTCAGCTAATGATTCCAGCATTCTCTTCTCTGTCTCCTGCATCAGCAGTGTTTCTCTATCACATCATTGCCATCAGCATATAAAGGTGCTGCAGTGTCTCCCATCTCATCAAAACCCTCTAATGGTTCTGCATCCCCCTCTGTCATCCCATTTCTCTGTTCCCCTTTACAGCAGAGCTCCTCAAGGCTTCTACTTTTGTTATCTCAAATTTTTCTCTTAAACCTACTCCAGTCAGGCTTTCACCCACCACTTCAACAAAGCTGCTCTTGTTAAGGTGACCAGTGACTTTCATGTTGCTAACGTAGTGATCAGTTCTCATGCTTCATCTTCTTTGATCCATCAGTAGCATTTGGCACAGTTTAACTGCCCCCTCCCTTTAAAATAATTTACTTGTTGTTGGTGATAATATACACAGCAGAACATACACTGATTCAACAATTTCTGCATATACAATTCAGTGACATTAAGTTATGCAGCCATTCTCACCCTGCTTTTCCAAATTGTTCCTCCCCCATTAACATAAAGTAACTGCCCCCTAAGTTTCCTATCTGATCTTTCGAGTTGCTGTTGTCAGTTTGATCTCATATAGATAGATCTTGAAAGAGCACGACACTCAAGGAAGACAGTCTTTACTAGTTAAGCTAAACTATTTATTCCCTTCTTTCTTAAAATACTTTTTTCAGTTGACTTAGCACCCACTCAGTCTTAGTTCTCCTCTTACATTACAGGCTGGTCCTTTCTGGTCCTTTTGGTCTCTTATGCTGGTTCCTCTTCATCTCCCCTGCTCTGAATGTTGGAATGCCCCAGGGCTCAGTCTCCAGGCTTCTTCTCTATCTACACATCCTCTCAAGGGGATCTCATCCAGTCCCATGACTTTAATTGTTGCCTATAAATTTATATATCTTCAGCCCAGACCTCTCCACTTAACTCCAGACTCATACATCCAACTGTGACTACTTAATATGTTACTAAATGTGGTATTTCAAACTTAACATGTTCAAAATGTAATTCTTTATTTCCACATATCCCCACCCCAAAACCTAATCTCTCGGAAGTCTTCTGCCTCACCAAATGGCAACACCATCCTTCCATCAAAAACCTTGATGTCATCCTTAACTCTCCTGTTCCTTTCATATTCCACATTTAGTCTGTCAGTGGATTCTGCAGTTCTGCTTTCAGAATATATCTCAGAACCTGATTACTTATTGCCACCTCTTCTGTTACCACACTTGTCCAAGCCACCATCATCTGCTGCCCCAATTCCAGAGGATCAGTTCAGCAGCCAGAGGGATCCTTCTAAAACATAAGATAGACCATGTTATTCCTCTTCACGAAAACTTCCAGTGACTTTCCAGTTTACGCAGAGTAAAAGCCAGAGTGCTTAAAATGGCCTAAAGGGCCCTCCTTGAGGTGACCACTCTAGCCTTATTTCCTATCATTCTCCCCCTTGTGTAATCTTCAGTCACACTGGCTTCCTTGCTGTTCCTCAGAAATCACAGTGCACGCATGCCTACCTCAAGGCCACTCATTGTGCTTGCTGTTGTCTCTGCCTGGAGCATCTCCCTCCCCCCCAGATATCCACATGACCTGCTGCCTCAGTTCCATCAGGTCTCTGCCAGTGAGGCCTTCCCACATTATCTAGCACTTGCCTATCACTCTTACCCTGCCTTACTGCTCTCCATACTGCAGGCCATAAGCTCCATAGGAGTGGGAGGGCATTCTAACATCTCTGACTCCTGTGGTAATGTCCGGGGCATGCAAGATGCTCAGAATGATATTTGGATAAAAGAGCAGTTCTAGAAGTGTCCTGTGAGCTCAGACTTGGGTTGCACACTGACCTGCTCTTATACCCAGTTTATGATGCCCTGTTGTTCATGAGGGTGGTTGTTAATGCGAGGGTTAACTCAGATACTGTTTGCCAGGAAGGTGAAGAGGAGTGGGGATCTTTGCCCTAACATCTTTTGGTTCAGGAGTGATGGTTGGGGTTGGCTCCTAGAATTGGCATTGTGAAGAGGAGGCTGTTGTGTAGCTTAGTTGGCTCCCCTATCCTTACAGGGTGTGAACGCTCAAGGATGTCGGGGGTTGGGGAGGTGCCTGAGCTGGGCTGACCTTTCTCCAGAGAATGCATGCCCCACTGCTTGATTTTGCCTCATTGGACTCCCGCAGGTGAAACTGGTGCAGCATACCTATTCGTGCCTCTTTGGAACATTCCTGTGCAACAATGCCAAGGAGAGAGGGGAAAAGCATACTCAGGAACGGACCTGTTCTGTGTGGTCACTTCTTCGGGCAGGCAACAAGGCTTTCAAAAACCTACTGTATTCCTCTCAGTCAGAAGCCGTACGTATCCTTCAGCCTTTCTCCTCTGTGATCATCAGCAGGAATTGGGGTGGGAGGTGACTGTCTTCTAAAGTGTATCTCTGTTACAGTCTCTGGATTTGTTGATCCTGGTTTTTCCTACCATTTTGTCCTGGGAGCAGCCTGTTCCTGGTGATCTCTGACCTACTTCTGCCCAGTCTTTGGTTAGGGTGGTTTGACTTAATACACATCTCTACCTTGCCACTCTGGACATGAATCTTTTCTGGTACCTCTTCAAGAGCTTAATTTATTTCCAGTATGTTCTGCCTAGTGGGTGGAAGAGGCACTTAAGTTGTTCCCTGGATGCCCCTGATAGCTCCGACAGAAGAAGCTGCCACCAGGCCCCAGTACCCTTCCATTGGCAAGAGACAGTGCTCTCCACTGCAGGTTCTTGTCTCAGAGAGAGAAAACCATATCTGTGTGATCTCTGATCACACAGGGAGCTAGCAGGTCCTGTAAAGCTTTGTTCTCCAAGGAACGGCTTCTGTTAAACAGTGGAAAGTAGCTGCATACTTCTGTGTATCAATAGATGGTAACATTCCCTTTGTCAAAATGCATCTTAAACTCTAAGATGTCAAAGGAGGCTAATTAGAGGTCATATTGCTTTGCTGGCCTATTAATATACTTCTCATTCAACATAAGTAGTCAAAGGAAAGATTTAAGCTAACTGCTTCTTTCTCTCTCTCTTTCACTGTGCCTGCTGGGGAAGTAATTCCCTCCTTTTCACATGATTAATTTAAACCATCCTGTAAAACAGGCTTGATGGTGTCTTCTGAAGCCAAGTTCTTGTACCAGGGGAATGACAATCACCATCTAACAGAATGACTCACTTTCTTATGCAATAAAAGCAACAAATCAAGCTGATGAAAGTCAGTCATTCAATAAAGGTGACCTAAGGAATAATTAAAAATGACAAATGGGTTTTTATAAAAATCCTTCAGATTTTCATGGTCACAAGAGGCTCTCAGGTGAAAAATGTTGCCAAACGAAATCTCTTGTCCTGTATTGATTGGCCCTCTTGGGAGACAGACCTGTATCCACTGATGCTACCTCTCTTTGGAGATTGTGCTGGGCCTGTTGGGTGTTCCAGCTAGGTGCTTGTTCTTGATCCTCATTTCCAGACATTTCTAAAAGACTCGGTGTGAGGCATGTTGAAACCTGTGTCCTCCCTCTCTTCAGGTGCTGTACCCAGTGTGCCATGTGCGTAACCTGATGCTGTGGAGTGCAGTGTACCTGCCCTGCCTGTCCCCATCCACCCCTGTGGACGACAGTTGTGCACCATACCCAGCCCCAGGCACCAGCCCTGATGATTCACCCCTGAGCCGGTGAGCCCAGGGTTGATGCCACAGGCTTCACGTCCTGTGTTAGGATATGCCACTGGGGTGGTCATGATGTTGTCTGGCTTCAGAACATCTTCCTTAGATCTCTGAAGTTTTCTCAGGGAAGGCATAAAAATTTTTGGGCTCGAAGGCCGTGAGAGCTTCATTTCCTGAAAGACCTACATCACTCTACTGCATGTGTTGAGCAGTTTCTCAGCGATGGAGCAAATTCCGTGGGTTCTTTTGTGACACCTGGCTTATATTTTACCCACTGCTCTGTGCTCCTGCCTCCCTGCCATGATTTTTCCTCTTGGGTTTGAAAGGCAGATACTGTCAGATGATAAGAAAGTTTGGCTTTGCCACTTGTGAATTAATTTTATTGAATTCAGGCTCATAGATACTAATAATTTAAAATGCTGTAATTATTAAAAAAAAGTCAGCAGTGGTAACTTTCCTTTGCCACTGATTGAGAAATACACAGTATCATGAATGTATTTTTAAAATATCATTTGATGTTAGCTTATTTGTATTTATTGGGCATGGGGTGGGAGCATTGGGAGAGAAACTCTGAAGACTAGAAGAAGGACTCTTAAGGGCCGTTTGCCTCTCCAGCAATCTAAGCCTTACTTCAAGGATACCATAGCTCCTTGAGTAGCTGTAATGGACCCAATTATGAAACAACCGCCTCTTAGCACCTGTTGTCTCCTTAAATGAATAGCTTCACAGATTCTCATTTCCCCAAAACTCCTTTCTTTTAGGCTACCAAAGACAAGATCATTTGACAATCTGACAACAGCATGCGACAACACAGTGCCTCTGGCCAGCCGGCGCAGTAGTGACCCGAGCCTGAATGAGAAATGGCAGGAGCAGCGACGCTCACTAGAACTGAGCAGCCTGGCAGGTCCCGGGGAGGAATCTCTGGATGCTGACAGCCTGGGGAAGCCAGCCAAAGTGCTAGGTGGTGCTGAGCTGTCTGTTGCAGCTGGAGTGGCCGAGGGGCAGATGGAGAACATTTTGCAAGAGGCGTCCAAAGAGGAGAGTGGGGTAGAAGAGCCTGCCCATAGAGGGGACATTGAGATGCAAGAGGTCAAAGAGGAGGCACTCTTAGAAAAGGAGAGCAGGAGTAAGACGCCCGAGGGCTCAGCCGTTGTAGTTTATAAAGAATCAGAGCTGGATGACGCTGCTCTGAGGAGTCATCCAGGCACGAACCTGTCTGTGTTCTCACAGGGTATTCCTGAACAGCAAGGTGTGCACAGTGTTCTCCCCAGTCCGCTCCAGGAGCCCTGCAGGGGAGAGGGCTCCCAGGAGATCCCTGTGGAGCAGCCTCAAATAGGAGATATCCCAGAGGATAGGGAGGAAACAGTTCTTCCAGTCTCAGTAGATGCAAAAGTTGGCTGTGGTACCTCACAGTCAAGGTCTCTGCTGCCCCTCCAAGTCCCACTTGAGGCCAGAGGACCAAATGTGGACAGTTCTATGGACATGTTAATGGAAGATAAGGTGAAGCCAGAAGATGAGCCCCAAGGCCATCATAGACCTTGCGTGGTAAACAGTGGCAGATTGAGTGACAAGGACATGCCTGCCCAAGCTATGGAGCCCAGGGCTTCAGAGAGGAGCCTGGCTGAGAGGCCCCAAGTGGGGTCTGAGGTGTACAGGACGTCCCCTGGCCACACTCGCAGCCCAACACGTTCCCCTTGTGCCTTGCCTTTAGCCGAATGTAAAGAGGGGATTGTATGCAATGGTGCCCCAGAGACTGAAAACAAGGCCTCAGAGCAGCCCACAGGGCTAAGCACTCCCCAGAAGTACCCCACACCCAATGGGCACTGCGCCAATGGTGAGGCTGGTAGGAGCAAGGACTTCCTGAGCCGCCAGCTATCTGCAGTGAGCTGCAGCTCCACCCACTTACACTCGAGGAACTTGCACCACAAGTGGCTACACAGCTACTCAGGGAGGCCATCCGTGACCAGCAGCCCTGACCAGCCTTCTCGCAGCCACCTGGATGATGATGGCATGCCTGTCTACACAGACAGTATCCAACAGCGCCTGCGTCAGATTGAGTCGGGCCATCAACAGGAAGTGGAGACCCTGAAGAAGCAAGTCCAGGAGCTGAAGAGTCGCTTGGAGAGCCAGTACCTGAACAGCTCTCTACGTTTCAATGGGGACTTTGGGGATGAAGTGGTGAGTATGCCATGGTACCTGCATGGCTACCTAAGGAGACAGGGCATGCTGAGGCTCGGTGCCCTTTGTGCCTGGTGTGTGGTGACTGGTAAAGAATTGGAAAGGTCCAGAATAGCCCTGTAGAGAGAGGCTGGAGATCAGACTCAGCCATGTAAGTGAAAGTGTACATCTTTTCTTTTCTGCCTGGCTTTTCCATGTATGTCCTGTTTTAGGAAGGTAGGGTAAGGAAGGGAGTTAGCACTCACTACATCATTGGTCATATCTCTTTGGAGAGAGGATCATATGCCTCAAGAACTTGAACTCCTGGACAGAATGACATTGTAGGGCAATGTCCAATATTCCTGCCAAATTATAGTGCCCATCCTACTTTAGTGGCTAGTAAACTATTAGCCCCCTCCCCCCCCCAAAAAAAAAAAACCATGAGCTGAAGATGTGACACTGTAGTTCTTTTTTTAACAAGATGTTTTAACACCTGGTGATGGGCATAGAAATGGAGAGAAGTGATTGGTTTTGAGCACTGTTCACAACTTAGCACTGATGGATCTTGGTGACTAAAGTGGGAGGGGGCCAGAGAGGAGGTCCTCGGGGTGGCACTCTTCTTACTGGGAGGGTCTGACTCAACATGCTCAACTACTAGTGTGAACCTGCAGTGATCAGCGTACATTAAAGGCGGGCACATTCAGTGACTCTCGATTCAAAATGACTTCATATTAATGATGCTTTCTCATTTTCCTAAAGAATCCTTCAGAGAAAGGAAGGCATGCCCAAAGCACTCAGTTCTAACCAAGTAACAGGGTAGGACTGACAGGCTGCTGGAATAGAGCTTCAGCTGACACTCGGAGCTCTCACTCCCTTCTGATAGTACCCCCACCTTACTTCCTGGAACCCTAAGGTCCATCTTCCCACTCCAGAGTCACCATACACAGCTTTAAACATGTATGCCCCGTTAAACATGTGTATCGTTCTGTTGTACATTGGGTTACTGTGAGTCGGAAATGACTCAATGGCACCTAACAACAATCCCTCTTCCAGCTGAGCTCAACCTAGTCTCTGTACCTGCACATCCTGATCCTCGATGGTTGTGCATCTAAAGATTTATCAGCCCTAACACCCAGGCCCAACAGTAGCCCCCAGTGCTCCCTTCTGTGCCAAACCCTTTGGTCTTCTTTTGGGAGTAGACCAGGTTCATTCTGTTCAGCTGTGTTTGTTTGCCAACAGACTTCAATCCCCGACTCGGAAAGCAATCTGGATCAGAACTGTTTGTCTCGCTGCAGCACAGAGATTTTCTCTGAAGTCAGCTGGGAGCAGGTGGATAAACAGGACACGGAGGTACAGGCTCAGCCCCTGCTCTGAGCACCATCCATGCAACTGTTTTGTGGTTCTTTTCCACCCCCATCCCTACCCCATGCCCCTGGCCAAGGAATAACCTTATAGTACAGTTAGCCTTGAGCCTCGGACATCATAGCTCCTGTGAGCCCCTATCAAGCCTAGAATTCCTGAGCCAGGGACACTCAGTTAGCCGGCCCTCTCTCCTCATTGCCTCTGTGAACTGGAGGCCTGCCAGTTCTCATAGTGACCCAGGGTGCTGCTGCCTGCTACTTTATCTCAGGGGAGTTTAGAGTCCCCTCTAGGGAAACGATTTGGACGCCTTTCTTGTACTGCTGACATCAGACCTGCTGGGTCAGTGCCACTGGAACTGGTGTGGTCCTTGTGACCATTGTTGCCCCCAGCATGGCTCTGCTGGCTCCAGCTGGACAGCCTGTTTCCTCTCACTAACCTGGCCCCATCTGTTTTGCAGATGACCCGTTGGCTCCCTGACCACCTGGCTGCCCACTGCTATGCGTGTGACAGCGCCTTCTGGCTTGCCAGCAGGAAGCACCACTGCAGGTGCCTTGAGGGGTGTAGTGGTGTGGGCCGGGGTATGGAGGCTGAGGTTTGGCTCACAGGAGCCTACAGAATGGAGAGATGCCAGGTGTCTGGCTGGCAGTATTCTGTCTGAGGTGGACACGGGGTTTACAGGACCTCCATTCATCTTTTGTGCCTCTGAAATTGGTGTTTGCAGAACTGCATTTGGTATCTTTGTTCCAGTTCAGAGCGATCACTATTAAATTTTGAAATGCGCAAGTGATATATTTTTGTTTTGCTTCCTGAATTGGTGGAGCACCACCTACCACCCAAACTATCATTTCTTGTTCCCAGAATAAAATTTCTTCCCATTCAATATGGCTGCTGTGAACAAAACTAGTTTTCCTGCTGCGGGCAGGGAACTTCATTTTCCTACTCCTTACCCTGCTCCCTGGCCCCAAACTTGTTTTCCCTTGTGCTGATGTTGAGCAGATGTAGCTGGGGGGGAGTTGTAGGGACAGCTGAGGACAGAGTCTTCCAGTCGTTAAGACTCCTCACCTTCTTTCTCCCTTCTGGGTTGGGGTAGAGAGTTACTAGAAATGCTTTGCTGCAGCTGGGGGATGACTGTCTGGTAGATGTTCAGTGTTCTTAGGATAGGAAATTTTGCTGAGTCGTGTCATAGCTCACGCATATGAGTGAAATTGAAATTGGATTGAAAATGTTCCTCTTTGTCCAGTAACGATGCTTCTGGGATCATATAACTCCCTACCCTGCACCCTAGCCCAAATGTCTTTGATCAGCTTCTCCTCTGAGCTCTTTCTCCCCTCCTTGCAGGGACACTGACCGTGTTGATCAAACGTGGTGAGCATTTGCAACAACCTGTCTGTTATGTCTGCATATCTACAATAACTTCTTTAAACTAACGCTGTCCTTTCTCCCCTTTCTCTGCACTCATTGGAATGAAAGCCTGGGACTGGAGAGCACAGGCAGGCAGGTGGGCTTGGAGGACCATCAGCTGATTGAGGATACCTGTAGGACTGAGTCAGGCTGCAGTCATGTACTCCCATCCAACCAGAAGTTCAGCTAAGCCGTCCTTGCTTGTGACAAGAAAGGGGCTGGTCTTGTAGGGTAGCCAGTTGGGCTTTCAGAGCCATTTCTTTTGGTTTAATCATTCATTGAGATGCCAAGATGATGCTAGTGACTTCAAGTCAAACAGCATCACTGCTCTTTTTTTTTTTTTTAAAGAGACGAGGATTGTACAGAGGTGATCTTTCCAGAGAATCAACATTAGCATGGAAGACATTCAGAGAAGACTTCATTTAGGGTCTTTAAGGGTCCCCTGGAAGAAGTCAGATAGGAAAACTTCCCTAGTCAAATTCATGTCAGGCTATTGAGCTGAACTCTAACAGGTATGATACAATAAATATAGACATTCAGAAATAAATGTAGGTAATTCTCTGTGTGACCACAGGTTCTTGCTGACTCGTGCTTTTTGGAAACACAGTTAACGAAGTACTTATTGCATGCTAGAAGATGAGATTTTGTGTGTTTGGTTTAGTTCTCTGTCCTTCCATTGCTCTGTGTCCAGGCTTTTCCTTTTGTAGTATTCTTTTGTCCCCAAATAGCATTCAGTATTCTTTTCTCCTGTAACTGGTCCTTAATCCAGCAGTGGGATTGCATTCTGAGGAGTGCAGGTGTTTAGCTGCCTTCCCTTCATCTTTGGAGGGCTGTGTCAGGCTCCTTGGGGCGGGGGGAGGGGTGGGGTGTCTCCTGTTCTTGGGCTTATTGGCATTGATTTGTCCTTAAGGGCCCAGCAAAAGTGGAATCATAAGGTGGGTGGAAACTTACCCTGCCAGTTGCCTTTCCTGTTAGCTGTGAAGGACATTGGTCTGGGTGTATAGACCTTCAAGGGGAGGAGGGGAGGAAGGCCTTCAGGCAGAGCTCTGATTTTCCCTGGAGATGCATGGGGCAGGGGAGTGAGCCATAATAAACTGACACCAATCTAATCAGGGTATGTGTGTGTGTCTGTGCACGTGTGTTCAACTGTGCTCTTGTCCTTCTACTTCTCCTTTCAGTCTCTGAGCATGCGTCACAGGCTGCTTGTCTCCTGGCTTTGCATGCTGCCAGCAGAGCAGTCCCACATGGCAGCAGTCTATACTCCATGTTGCTGCCCCTGAGCTCCTGGGGAGTAGCCCTTGGCCAGGCTCCACACTCTCCATCTGGGCTGGGTAGTTGTTTCTCTCATCTGAGGGGCCTGGAAGCAGTGCCACTTGACTCTGGCCTCTCAGTGATGACAAGCTATAAAGAGGTCATTGTCCAGGTGGGTGTGGCCACTGGGTTTCCTTGGGCCAGGACTTACCCACTGAGTTTGCACTGCTTCCGCCCTGGGCCCTTTGTTCTCACAGGTATCTCTTGAGCGACATGCCCCTGTGTCCTGGTAACCTTGAGCCGTAGTGGTGGGGCATCCAAATATCCTGGGCTCCAAAGTGAAAAGTGACATATGAATATACTAGGTAGGGATGCCTGCCCTGCCCAGCTTGTTCTCGGTTAGAGAAATGGAAGCGTTTGATGTTAGAGAAGTTTCCAGCACATCTGAATTATACACAGAAAAGTTCTGTCTTCTGAAGTTGGTTTCCCCACCTCACACCTGCTTGCTAAAATTAACATTGTTTTGTTTCTTTTTCTCATCTCAAGGAATTGTGGGAACGTATTCTGCTCCAGTTGTTGTAACCAGAAGGTTCCAGTTCCCAGCCAGCAGCTGTTTGAACCCAGTAGAGTGTGCAAGTCTTGCTATAGCAGCCTGCATCCTGCGAGCTCCAGCATTGACCTTGAACTGGATAAACCCATTGCTGCCACTTCAAATTGAAGCTTAAGTGACCTGGGGCAGAGGCCAAGCTACTGTTCCCTGGACAGGCCAACACAGCCTGGGCAGACTGAGAGACCCGTGCACTTTGGAATGGGGGCATGGAACCACCTGTGCAGAATGACAGAAATTTGGGATGTACCACTGGATTGTAGATTGCTTTTTGTTTTCCTGTTCCCACCCTCCCTTTTCTATTCTCCCTCTGCCTTCAAAAAAGAAAAAATCCCTGATTGTCTTAATTTTTTTTTTTTAAATGGAAGGTCAGAGGTTGTCCAGCCCTCTGTAACTGCCAGGCTGCCTGCTGTGAGGCTACGCTGCGGGTTGACTTGGCTCCTTGGGGTGGGAGGAGGCCAGTCAGAGCCAGGAGTGGAGGCCTGAGACAGTAAGCACAGAAGAAAGCCAGTGTTAATGTTTGTAACCACTCCTCATGCCATCGTCAAGTTAGAGCTGGTTGGAAACCTTTGCTGCTGGGGAGGCTAGAGGCATCGTCCCCAAAAGCATGCCCCAGGTGCTGTCTCCCAACTGACAGAAGGATAAATGGGACTGCTGTTTGGGGGAAGGGACACAGAGTAAATGAAACCCCAAAGGCCCCCTTTGGAGAAGGAAAGTGTATGTCCTCTGAGGCAGGGGAGAGGGGCTTTGAATGGATGGCCAACCTAGCTCCTTGGCAGCAAGGAACCGACTTCTGTGTTCACCCCCATGGGATTCTGTTATTAAATTGACCCAGATTTTACAGGGCTCCCTTCACTTTCAGGGAGTCTGCCTCCCTGGGCTAGGCTGTGTAGCTCTTCCCACCCTTGGGCATAAGATGCAGACTGGCCAAAGTGCAGTGTCCTGTTGTGGCCAAGCCCAAAGCCTGCCCTGAACCCAGGCATACCTAGAAGCCCTTTCCAGAGCCTGGTCTCCCAAACAATCTCTCTTCCTCAGCCAGCACGGGAAATCCAGACTCAGGGTTCCAAAAATTCCCATTCCCAAACCAAACAAATCATGGATTTCCCCTGTAAGGGGTAGAACCAGCCTTTTAGAGTGCAAGTATCGGGAAACGAGAGCATGTCCTCATTATAATCAGCCTTCCTCCTCCCTCCCACCTTGGGGCAGCAGTAAGGGCCCGGCCAGTGCCCTGGCCTACTCCTGTGGTACCTGAGTGGGCACTGTTTGGCTGCTGGCCAGCAGTGAGGGGCCACGTGGTGAATCTGCAGGGTTCCTTAGAGAATGACATGGCCTATAGGAGATTCAGGGCGCCTCTCTGCTGTAAGCTTTGATGTGGTCCAAAAAAGAGCTTCAGTCAAGACTGTTTGGGGTGGAGGTAGATATGGGGAGGGTGGAGAGGAGTTTAGGTTTGTGTGTTGTAACCTTGGGGTCCATGTTTTGTGCCTGCCCTTCCTCTCAGGAAGGGCCATGCTTGGCTCTGCTCAAGCTACTGACTGATAACAGTATGAATTATGGTGAGGGGCAGGGGTCAGGTCAGGAAGCCCAAAGTTGTGATCCTGCCCTATACCCCCCTTCCTGTTTGATAGCAGTTTCCTGGTCTCAGGAAGGTGGCTCCTGTTTGTGCCTGGGAGTAGTTAACACATGGCCCAGAAGCCTTCCCTAGAGCTGTCAGTCCAGGCAAAATCAAGAGCAACTGAGCATGTTTCTGACTTCCCAGCACAGCACGTTCCTTGGAGTTTGAGTTTAGTGAAACAGGGTATAGCTCTTCTCCATACTCTGTGTGGTCTGGCTGTGCAGGTAGGGAGAAGTTGGTCTAATTAAAGATTGTGCAGTTCCTAGTGACAGGTGCCAAGAGGTTACGATACGGGTTTCTTGGTGTGATGTACAGTGTGAATAAGTGCTTGCAGCTCTTAGTCCTTTTTTGATCAATGAAGCACTTTTTTATTAATATTTTTCTTTGTATGTAAACGAGGAACCGTAACTCTCCGTAGCTGTACATATAACCTTTTCTCCTAAAGAGGAGTCAGTCAGTGCTCCTATATTTTTCATTTTTTGTCAAAGCAAGAATACTTTAGAACTGTTAAATATATAAATAAAGTGAATAAAGTTTAGTGTTCTGCATGGTAGCATTTGCTAACACTTCCTGATTCTCTTCCCTGTGGCTTATCCCCTCTTTGTTCCTTTTCCTTCTTATCCAGGAGAAAGTGGGTTGAGGTGCTGCTGGGAAACTGGCCCTTTGGCAAAGGAAAACTGCAGGTTTGTTTTCAACTTTGGACCTTGGCAAGGAGCCGATGCCTGAGCGCTGAAAACATTTCCGTGATGATTTTGCCCCTAACATCTCCCAAGCTAAAAAAGACAAAACAGTCAAGTATCATAACAATCAGCCCTTCTTCCTTGTCTGAAGAATTGACATCAGTAGTGATTTAAACTACCTCTGGCCTCCAGGCTTTTTTTTGCTGCTGCTCTGATTCCAGGCAGCCACTCCTCAAGCCCCTTAGTTCCCTGCACTCAGGAGCATCAGCTGCATCTAGAGCGGCAGGTAGGTACAGAGCCTTGCAGAAAGAGTGAAAAGAGATGTGGGGGAGGACTAGAAAATGCTACTGCCTGGCCTTCTTGGATGATCGAAATTTGAGTGGGCAGGGAGAGAACTGGGGGCAGAAATTGAATTGGATGTGATTAGATTCTGCACCTAACTAGAGATTTCCTTCCCCATTCCATCCACACAGAAAGGGAAACCTCTGCTTCTTGGATCTGCAACCTCTGCTTCCAGCCAAGCAAGGCCATAGTATGTAGTCATTTCTTGACTAGGTCTTGCTCTTCACACAGGTGGACTTTCTTTCCCCTGCATCACTGTTGGGGCAGCCTTCCCATCCCAGGGGTCTGTGGGTGAGATATTCGATGCACTTCCTCCCTAGGGAAGATTGGTGTTGAGTGGCATCCTATCTCTGTAGTGAGTTGACTGGGCTCCAGAGAGTGACCCTGTTCAGAGACTTCCTGAAGGCCTTAACTCTTAAGGGTCAGGCTCTCCAGGGTCACTTTCTGGATGTACTCTCTGTCTTAAGAACAGCTGAGCTGGTTCCAGTCTGAAAGTCATCCAGGGGACATCTAGCATCTAATTCAGAATTAGCCTGCCTTCAGTCTACCAAGGAGACCCATCTGTGTGTTCAGACTAAGTTGTAAAAAACTTGAGTGCTTGTCATAGCCTGCATGTGTCTACACAGAGCTCCCGTAGTCCCTGCGGTCTCATGTTGGGGCCCATAGACGAGCAGCTGGGGGTAGGAAGATGAAGCTCACACAGGCCAGGATGCTGGTGAGCCTGACAGTGCATCTCTGTGGGCAGGGCTTGCACTCTGCTAGCTAGCAGGAGTTTGGTCTGAAACAGTGGGATACTAGCAGTAACCTTGAGCTGCCAGGATGTCGTCCTCAGCTCTGATTTCCTATCCTGGTACCCTTAACTCCTGTCCAAAAAATGGTACAGCACACCAACTCTAGGGCTCCCTTAATCCACTGGGGTTTTTTGGTGAGGATGTATAGAAAATTTTTTCTCAAGTAATTTTGCTAATGTGCTTGCTGTTAATTTCCATATTAGACAGAAAAGAATATTCTAAGAATTAAAAAGGTACTGTGGCAGACTTAAAAGAGAATGAATAAAACGATGCCAGAAGATCTTTTAATTTCCAGCTATTAAAAAATATCAAAATGGGAATTGAGGGCATATCCTAGGATAAGATTACAAGCTTTTGTCCTTGAAATAGCTGGTATGCTTGGCTGCTTGCACGTGAGGCTAGGAGCCCCTACACCTATTGAAGTTGTTAGCTCTAGCCCTGACCTCTATTGATCTTTTAAGAATGAGGGCTGATTTGAAGGTGCTGTCGCAGGGTTTCATTTAGGTGGTGCCTGTTAAGTGACTTGTCCTCAGGGCTGCAGCTGCACACGATTGCAATAGCTGAGAACAGGGCTACTGGCGGTAGAACCAGTAGAGTTAAAAGATGGGCCCTGGCTGTAGAGCAGAATGGCTCGTTCTTCATTAGGAGTTTTGGGTAACATGGCAAGAGTCTCAGCTGTTAAGTGTCAAGTCACATCTTCAAGGAAGTTGTTCTACATGAAGTTACATGGTTTCTTGAGGGCAGGACTGACTTTTAAACATGAATCCCACTGTCTAAGTATATAACCAAACTGAAGCTTTGTTCCTCTCTGGCGTGTGTAGAGTTCATCCACTGTACATTCCTTACAGATAGCAATTGCCTTCCAGGGTGAATAGGCCTCTTTCTAGGCTCTGCAGGTGTTCCAAAGCATGAAAGTTATGGGAAGAGGAAGAGGAAGGAATACTCTCTGAAATGGGAATTACAAAGTTTTTTTAATGCTGCTGTTATATTTTACTTATCACATAGGGGCTTTTCGATCATATCTGAGTTCTTAGTCAACTTTTCTTAGTGCTCATAGCAGTTGCGTTGGTATTCTCAGTGAAATTTTACACTGGCATTTAAAATTGGCCTTAACTGCTTTCCAGTTGCGTTTTAAGATTTTTTTTTAAAAAAGAAAACCTATGAGGCTGAGATGCTGTTTAAGAAATAGACTGTGTGTTGCTGCTGACAGTTGTGCTTGCCTATTGTAACAGCATTTTTCCTGCTGTAGCCGCAGTGACCATTGAAACTAAATGAACACGTCATTTTCACCCACAGTTTTTCAGCCCCTGAATTTGGTTTGCCCCTTGATGAACACTGTGGTTCTCTAGTCAGTGCTGTGACAGTGTCGTGTGTGAGGGATGAATCAGCTCAGCCTCTTAGTCCAGAGAGAGGAGGCTTGGGAAGGAGGGGGCAGCAGGGAGTCTGAGGTCATCTAGTTCTAATCCATGGTTTTCAGACTGTTGGAGGGGATGATTGTGGGGTGATAGCCCCCAGGCCCATCTGATTAGAAGAAAGGTTTGGTACTTAAAAGTCTGAAAAACTTTGAGTTAATCCAGTCTCCTTATTCATTGAGGAAACAGACTCAGGGAGGAGTACAGACTTACCCGGGGTTACCCAATGAGTTACTAGCAAAATATGAATAAGAAACTTGCTCTCCTGATCCCCTCCCCCTCAGTGCTCTTTGGAGTACACAAAACAAAAAACCAGTTGCCTTCAAGTCTACTCCAACTCACGGCGACCCCATATGTGTCCCCTGTGTGTCAGAGTAGAACTGTGCTCCTTAGGGTTTTCAATGATAGATTTTTTAGAAGTAGATTGCCAGGCCTTTCTTCCAGGGCAGCTCTTGGTGGACTCAAACCTCCAATCTTTTGGGTAGCAGCCGAGTGAGTTAATCATTTCCAGGGACTCTAGACAGAAAACAATCTTTTATAAATAGCTATTTTATCCTGGTTCTCTTTCAGTTAGCCAACCCAGAAATCTTGGAGAGGAGCTTACTAGTTGCTATCAAAATGGTTAAAATTATGAGCCCTCCCCTCCCTCCTAACCAAAATCAAAAGATTTTGATAGTGTAATCCAGTGTTTTTGTTTTCTTAACTTTTCCAGACATAAAAATAATCGATATGTTATTAGCATGTATCGTCTTAGGATCAAGTTACAACATATTATCATAAGTCTGTGGCGGGAAGGAGAGTAGCTTCGACTAATGCAAATGGGTTAGTTGTTGTGAACTGTCTCAACATCAAAATCCAATTTCAGAAAATTGTTTTGGTTATACAGTATGGAGAAAAATTGCTGACTTATACAGATGTGTTGTTGTTTGGTGCCGTCAAGTTGGTTCTGACTCGTAGCGACCCTATATACAATGGAATGAAACACTGCCTGGTCCTGTGCCATCCTGACAGTCATTGCTATGTTTGAGCCCATTGTTGCAGCCACTGTGTCAATCCGTCTCGTTGAGGGTCTTCCTTTTTTTCACTGACCCTTTCCCAAGCATGATGTCTTTCTCTAGGGACGGGTCCATCCTGATAACACATCCAAAGTATGTGAGACGAAGTCTTGCCGTCCTCACTTCTAAGGAGCTTCCTGGCTGTACTTCCAAGACAGATTTGGTTCATTCTTCTGGCAGTCCATGGTATATTCAGTTTTCTTTACCAACACCATAATTCAAAGGCATTAATTCTTCAGTCTTTCTTATTCATTGTCCAGCTTTCACATGCATATGAAGCAATTGTCTTAGTCCTCAAAATGACATCTTTGCTTTTTAACACTTTAAACAGGTCTTTTGCAGCAGATTTGCCCAGTGCAGTTTGTCGTTTGATTTCTTGACTGCTGCTTCCATGGGCGTTGATCCAAATAAAATGAAATCCTTGACAACTTGAATATTTTCTCCATTTATCATCATGTTGCTTATTGGTCTAGTTGTGAGGAGTTTTGTTTTCTTTATGTTGAGGTGTAATCCATACTGAAGGCTGTAGTCTTTTATCTTCATCATTAAGTCCTCTTGGCTTTCAGCAAGCAGGGTTGTGTCATCTGCATGTTGAGGGTTGTTGATGAGTCTTCCTCCGATCCTGATGCCGCCGCCTTCTTATAATCCACCTTCTTGGATTATTTGCTCAGCATACAGATTGAATGAGTGTGGTGAAAGGATACAACCCTGACGCATACCTTTCCTGATTTTAAACCATGCAGTATCCCTTTGTTCTGTTTGAATGACTGCCTCTTAGTCCATATACAGGTTCCACATGAGCACAGTTAAGTGCTGTGGAATTCCCATTCTTCGCAATTATCCATAATTTGTTATGATCCACACAGTTGAATGTCTTTGCATAGTCAGTAAAACATAGGTAAACATCTTTCTGCTGGTATTCTCTGCTTTCAGCCAGAATCCATCTGACATCAGCAGTGATATTCCTTGTTCTCTGGCAGCTCCCGGTAGATGTCCTCCTGCAACCGTTTTTGAATTATCTTCAGCAAAATTTTACTTGTGTGTGATATTAATGATTTGTTCGATAATTTCCACATTCTGTTGCATCACCTTTCTTTGGGGTAGACACAAATATGGATCTCTTCCAGTCGGTTGGCCAGGCAGCTGTCTTCCAAATTTCTTGGCATAAACAAATGAGTGCTTTCAGCGTTGCATCCGTTTGTTGAAACATCTCAGTTGGTATTCTGTCAATTCCTGGAGCCTTGTTTTTCACCAATGC